GGAGGGTATATTTTCATAAAAAGCCTTTAACTTAGAGGATTATGAAAACCGTTCTATATAGTTTTTTACAACATTTTTTTAGTGCGCGATAACCGACATCTACTTTTGGTTTGGGCAGGCAAGTCCACTTGTACAAGTTTAATGCAAAATTCAGATTCCAAGATGGATTGTATTGAATGAAAAAAGATATTGGAGGCTAATTCAATCTTTGATAACTCTGTAAATAAGAATGATAAACTAAATATTACTACTCCTTTGTCCTATTATATAAGATGTTTAAGTATTATTTTTTTATTTTATTTTATAAGATGTTTTACATGTTTTTATGCAAAATTTAATAAATTTAACCATTTATATTTTACAGTAATTATTTTTATTAGTTGATATATTTCTAGTTACATATTAAAAGATATTTTTAATGCTATAAAAACAAAAATAAAACTAAATTAATATACTTCTTAAACTGCGCGCTTTTAGCTAGAAAATTTTATATAACAGGAGAGTGAATAGTATTTTGTAGAGAGATGAAGTTAAACATATGTATAAAAAAGTGTAAAAATCTCATAAATTAGAAAGTAAACATTGGTTTTGACCAAAAAAAAACAAAAGAAAGTAAACATTGGCCATATACATAAATGAGACATAGTCACAACTAAACAACAAATAACCTAACCATTTACGGTAAATGATTTACCAAACCACTACTAATACAGAAAGCTAAAACAATCCAAAAATTAAATTGCTTTTGTCTAAGACCTATTTATAAGATGAACAATCTCTAAATTTCATTAGAATTTGGCAGGAAGAACAGAGATAAATACAATGACATGAGAGAAAGTAATAGGCTCTATTTTCTTCTTCTGTCTCCGTGATAACTTTATCTGTATTTACCTTAATAAGGACTAAAATTGTGCCTGCTTGTGAATTTTTTGGCAATAAAAAAAAACCTGAAGAGAAAGATTTACACTTAAACATCAGAAAAAATGGAAAAAAGCAAAGGAGAAGCACTGGTTGGTGTCAGACTATTACTAACCTTCTATGGATTTTCTAAATTCTTAAACTACTCAAAAGCCTGCTAGTCATCTTATGAGCAAAGAAAAGTGATATATGCTACCACTTATCATCTCATCTTCGACTTATCGCTTCCGTTTCTTACTCTTTTTCTTTATAAAGGCAGCAATCGAAGCGGGAATCCCTATGGTTGTTCTGCCTTTTTTACATCCCCATTTCACCGGCAAATCTTTGACTATGTTGCTGATATCGTCTGTTCCGCTTAATTGCACCAACTGTTTTATCTGCTCACACATCTGCAGTGTCAATGCCATTGATAGATCCAAAGCTATTGAGTCATCCATTGGTTTCATCTTTATGTTTCTCAGTTTCTCTTTCAACGACCGCAAGGACATTGAGTCACCATACCCTCCACGGTTTTCGCATATTGTATTTACCTTTACGATGTGCTTGCATAAGTTCCCTTGCAAAGACCAAGCACAATCACAGAAAGCAAACTCCGAACCTGGGTTCCAAACAACTCGTGTTACATTGGTATCTTTCTGAGACTGAACCTTTGCAACAAGGATGTCATTTTCGTCTAATGTAACAGCAGAATCTGGAATCTCCAATGCTCGGTGCCATGAAGTAGAAGCTATGTATTCTTCTTTAACATTTTGAAAAGAATCACTTTCATCAGCATATCGATCAAGCCAATAGCTCGAATGGAGTTCAGTCGTCAGCTTGTGTACTAACCAATCTACTCTCTGAAGGGCACCGAGGTGAGTATCGTCAAACAGTTTAACTTTAAGCTTTACATGGTAAGCTTCTATAGCACCACATGCTTCTTGGCTTGCAAGTGGAAGACTTTTTATCGTTGAGAGCCACATTTCTGCAAAAATCGAAGAACACATAAGGCACTAGACTCAGAGGTACACGAGCACTTGCTAGCAATGATACCCGAGGTTCTATTTAAAAGGGATCAGATGGTAAATAGCTTAAGGGAAACAACTAACCTATTTTAGGCAACCAAGTAGATGTGAAATACTGCATGAAGGCCGTTTGACCAACAAAATCCTGAGTTAACCTTTCTAGAGCCTTTGATGTATCTACTCCATCCCAAATGCTGTACACGACTTCTCCTAAACATTTGAATAACTCTCTTTGGACCTCAATATTATCGCACTTCTTCACTACATTCCTAAGCCATGATCTACGAACACGCCAGAGTGAGAAAAGGATCGGGCAACAAAATGTGTCCCTGGAAAGAAAAAAGAAGGAAATGAGTCGGTTTACAATACACTCTTTATCCTATTTTAAAACTTGTTATAGCTTTGAAGCATCATCATCCATGCCTTATGGGATCAATCTCTGTTGCAGCATCATCGATGATAAAGCCATTGATTTTAAAGCCAGGCTCAACACTCTGTGCGCGTTGGAGTAGTATTTTCATCCACTTCTCAACATCAGATTTCAAATAGCTACGAGAGATAATCCAAGCGACGGGGAGCGCATGATGTCTTGAATCAAATACAAGAAGCGTGCAGAGAGGATACTGCCATAAGAGATCATAAATAAGCACATAACTTCCTGAAAAGCAGAGACAGACATTAAAAAACACAAGATCCATTTTACCTTCAGTCTCTTTATCCCAAATGTCGAATCAGCTGCAACGAGACTACCATGCCCAAAACGGACGAGTTGCTGCAACTGCCACTCTGTTTGAATCCCCAGCATGAACTGCTCCGTCTCCGAAGATTCCTGATAAAAGAAGATGGATTTCTTGTTGCGCTCAGCCCATATCTTGATACTAGCTTGATCATCTAAATCCAGCTCATGAGTGGAACGTTTGATAATCATCCCAAGTTTATGAACATACTGAGAGGCAAGACTATTAACCGTTGCATCAGAACCACAATACCTCTGAATCCCTTCAATATGTTTCTCCAAAACGTTTTCTTCAGGAATCCCAAGATAAATCATGGACATAGTTTGCTGTTGAATCTCATTAGATATATAAGGAATCTTCTTAGCACCAGGGCCAATAGCATCTCTATCAAGAGGTCCATGACAGATAAAACCAGCTTTGTTCACATGTCGTCTCTCATTGTATATCAGAAGCGCAAGCAAAGGACGAGCATAAAGACGTTTCACAACGAAATGACATGTACATCCTCTCATTGATTGAGGTCTCGCAGCTCGATTTCTAGTGTTGAGACGGTATTTTCTACTGGGCAAAACACCACCACCTTCTCCATAGTTCTCAGGACCAAAAGAACACCAATACCTTCAAAGTACAAGTAAACAATTGAAACCCAGAGCTAAAAATGGAGTTTTTTTTTTAAGTTCTCAGAGATTTGAAACTTACAGTCTATATTCCAAATACTCATCGCTCTTGAACTCCTTGAGGCTGCCTCGAGAGCGTTTTCTTCCTCTTTCGATGTGAAATCGTGTAGGGCACTCAGCGTTTGAGCATTCTCCGATGATGAATTCGTCGACTCTTGAGTATGGAATCAGTGCTACATCGTCGTGATGCTCTGATGTACCAAATTTAGTCCAGGTCAAATCAGCCCATGAGAAGTCTTCTACTTGTGGGTTTTGCACTGGAATCTCTTCTAAAGATTCGATTATCGCCATTTCGTCTATAGTTTTTGAGCGAACTGTGCGACTGCACAGGTCTCAGAAATTAGGGTTTATGAGAGAAGAATTGAAATGGGAAGAAGATGACCTAAATGGGGATAATTAGACGGAAACTGAGGAATGTGGAAAGGACTAAGGAGTGAAGAAATCTAATAGCAAAAAGAGCCTTAACATTATTATTTATCTGAAAAATCACCTCGCTTGTTCATATTTGTTACTTTTGCCCTCTACGTATTATTGAATTGAAATTTGTTACTTTTACTTTTGTATCCATTCAAACTGAGTAAATAAAATAAGGTCGATGAAAATCGAATTTTTTTTGTTTGAGTTTAAATGAATTCAATTTTTTTTTATCTGAAAAACCAAATCTGAATTCAAATTCATTTGGCAAGAAACTAAAAATTCAAAAGAGAATTTTTGAATGATTACCAATAATTCTTTATGATGAAATTCAAAAAATTTTGGTGAGAAAAGTTTTGATAAATATTTACCAAACAAAATCCCAATGAATTTACTATCATATATGATTTTCTAACACATTTTCGACATCAATTTTTGGTGAATTTGTGTTAATCAAACTTTGTCATAAGTAATTATTTTTAATTCTAAATTTTTGTTTCCTAAAACAAACAAATAAAACTAAGAAAAAATACATCGGCTTCAACTAGTGATTAGTTATAGGAATGTTGGATAAGACGAACCAAAATGAACATGGTGGATACTTGAAAAAAAATATAAGATGAAAAAATAGTTTTCTTTTTCAAGGAGGAAGAAGTAAAGAAGTTCGCGCTGTATAATGTATATCTTTCTAGATTCCAAATGTTCTATACTATACTTGTATTCACAATCTCCTCTAAACATATTCTTCCAGCCCTTAGTCGATTTCTAGGGTTTACGTACCATTGTTGATCTCAATTTCTGTCTGATTTTTATTTTAGTTGCTATTATATGTCATTGTAATTAAAAAAAAGGTGTGATTAAACGCGATTCGTTTAGGCATGTTCTGCTTTGGTCATATAAATTCTCACGGCCGTAACATAATAACTAGCCTCATAGCTCCTCACCTTCCTAAGAGTACTCCCAAATCGGGTTCATTCAGAAAAGCCACCGGGAGCTTACCTGGTCAAAGCAGAGGAATTTTGAAAGTAACCAAAGAAG